ATTCAATTTTTTTCAAATTTTAAATCTCGAAAGAATTAAATTTTGTTCCAATTTGAATTTTAAATGTTAAAAAAATTCAATAATTCTGCGTTTACTTTTAATTTACAAGAGTGACAATTATGAAATTGTAAAGGATGTGCAATTTATCAGCTCTTCTTTCCTCCGCCCATTGTCAAGATAACAAATATTTCACACAAAAAATCACAAGTCAAAGGGTTAATATCCTTGGAAACATACTTCGGCATACTCCAACGAAACTTTACAGGTTCAATTTGGCGGATAAAGAAGGTGTGGCAGACAGAAAAGTGCCCGAGCAGCCTCTGGCATTTTACTCGAAGGACGGGACAATCACCAGATACAACCTGAGAAAAGTACACGAAAATTCTTCCACCGACGATCATCATTTCCTTCTTCGAATAACTCATTTTCATTTCAGTTCGGCGAATTGCCGTTTCATCTGGTCAGATCTCGACGTTTCAACGATTTGTTCGAAAACGTTCTCTTCAATTACGAATGGTTGCACGCGAAACTCAGTTCTTGTCCTCTTCAGGCAGTGCTTTCCGATTTCGAAGACGCGTGCACTTTCATCGATAATCAGAGTATCGTCAGGTACGGCGTAACGTGAGAGGATGCAGCACAGATTTTTGGGTCACCTGGTATATGAAGATTAAACCGTTTCGCGTTTTCGACGTGATTATGGCCCACGATAGGGGGTCAATGGTTATGGTTTGCGAATTTGGCCATGATTATGCTCCATCGAGAGTATACTGGGTGCCCAAATTTTTGAGCATAGGAGGATTTTTAGAGAGTTGACTTTTTTGTATAAAACTTTCTGTGATCTTCCTTCTGTGAAACTTTCTTCAATGATCTAGTCAATCATTGTGAAGATGACGTTAACTTTTTTCCTGGATTTCTCTCAGTTTTTGAAAATTTGTTGAATATTATGATGAATGTTATTTATGATTGCACGTTGCTTATATTCTCGTATTGGATCGTTTACCTCTTCTCTTCTTTTCATTTTCTACGCAATTCTCTCGATTTTCGAGACAAGCATTTTGAAAATTTTATATACTTTTATTCATTTCATTATTTATGATTGCACGTTACTTATATTCTCATATTGGACCATTCGTCTCTCCTCTCCTTTCCATTTTCCACACATTCTTTCTGTTATTCATCCGAAGATCTCCTTAACAATCTAAACTTCTGTTCCCATTTCATTCCGCAACTTAACAATTTTCTCCCATAAATAAATAATCGAGTATCGAAGAAATCCAGAAGTGCAGATCTCCGCACCTCAACAAATTCCTCCCACGAAATAAACAAACGAGCATCAAAAAAAAAAAATCCACACGATTCCCAGGCAACAAGTGCAATTCTCTTCCCAGAGAGCTGATGCTGGTAGCAGACGCGCTCAGATTAGGCGGTGCAATACTCGGCTCACATTCAGACATGCTTGCACCACAGCTAATCGGTCGTTTATTACCGGAAATCGGTGGAAACGTGAACGTGAAGATGCTTCTACGAGCGTGTGATAACGACGGAGCGAAGGATTGCGCTCTACTTCCAGTTTATCATTGCCTCCATACTCCCGGTGGACCTTTAAAAGTACAATACTTGGGCAAACTTTGCTGATTGATTAAACTGAAAATATCGCCAACTAATCTGGTACATATTTCAGTACTCGCTGGAGGGCCATCAATTCGCCGTATTTGGCTTTTGCCTGACGTCGGATTATCGTTACGTAGTCTCGATATCGAATCGATTTATCACATGGGATCTAAGCACCAGCGACATGACCAGAGACGTGAATCCTGGAGTCGAGGGAATTATGCAGAATCTTGTCTTGAGTCCTGATAATAGATACGCTGCTGCGTTCACCACTAATAATCAGGTATACCCGGTGTCCCGTTAATTCTCTTCGGCTAAATTTACCTGTAGATCTCATCTATCGGATCTATGGATACCGAGATAACGATGAATATTTTCTTAGATTTATTAATGCAATGAATTTAGTAGGACGAAAATGAAGGGTTCATTTGAAATTTCTTGGATCTGTCTTAATTAGAGTGATCGTCTCTACCTATAATGAGTTAAGGATGAATATTTTCTTAGTTTTATGAATGCAATAAATTTCGTGAGACGAAAATAAAGGGTTAATTTGAGATTTCTTGGTTCTGTTTTGATTAGAGTGATCGTCTCTAACTATACTGAATTAACGACGAATATTTTCTTAATTTTATCAGTGCAATAAATTTAATAGGAAAAAAATGAAGGGTTAATTTGGTACTGATCTTGTTTCGGTTTTAATTAGAGTGTCGTGTTGAATACTCTGACGAGTGAGTTCGTGATCATCGATAATCCATTTCCGAACGAAGATCCAGTTTACGGGGTTCATCTGACGAATCAATTTTTCTTCGTTTTTGGTAAGTTAGGATGGTGTAGGTTCGATTTACGAGGGAACCTCGTGGACACGCACTCTAACCCGGAGGATTCTAACAAGTGGCCAATTTTGTGTGAGTAATGGTAATTTGTGTAGTTTATTTGGAAGCTGTGTACCAACTTCTTAACTATAGGAAGTTCAAGGAAGCTTTGTTTCATAGAATAATTTACGTACGCCCTCTAAAGTTTATTTCTTCTTCGTGTGGAAATTAAATTGAATTTTCTCAAAGTTCGAATTTTCCTAGGTGTAAAAAGGTGTGACTTTTTTTTAATAGATGTGGAACACGCGAATCTAGACGACTACAGAATAATATTCTGGTCTGGGAACATGGAGGACACCAGTATGCTTCTGCATACTTACAGGAAGAAGGGATCTCTAGATCCCTTGCACTTCCATAGGTGAAGCATCGAATAAATTATTTTCCATTTCCTTTCCATACTCACTATCGACACTCTACACAAAATCTGATAGCTCTAATACAGAAAACATGGATATCTAACCGAAATATGGAAAACAATGAAAATGGAAATTTTCTAACATTCTTTTTACACGAAATTTTGTTAATATGAGAAATATGAAGATCTAATATGAAAAATAATGAAAATGAAACTTTGTCAGTATCTTTTTTACATGAAATTTTGTTAATATGGAAAATGTGAATATCTAGCATGAAAAACAGTGAAAATGAAATTTTCAATCGAAATTTTGTTAATGCGAGAAACATGAATATCTAATACGACAAACAGTGAAAATGAAACTTTGCTAACACTTAACCCGCCGGCTTTATAATTTGCAGCCGAACGTAAACCGCCGGCACTAATTTGCGAAATTTAGGAGGAAAGACCAGCCTAACTTTCTTTTTATGCATTATTTTTAGGTAAAAGTTTCGGATAACGCAAAGGAACCATGAAACCTACTAAAACTATTAATATTACAGACTGCAAAGATGCAATGCCGGCGGTTTACCGATAGTCCAGAAACATTGCGCAAATGCAATGCCGGCGGTTTAGCGATAGACCAGAAACATTGCATAAATGCAACGCCGGCGGTTTAAGTGTTAATATCTTTTTTACACGAAATTCCTTCAAGTATATCTTTTACACGAAACCTCTTCCAACACATTTCCAGCGTCATGGTAATGAACAACACTAAAAATGTTCTCTACGCGTGCACAACAAAGGCCGATTACCGAGTGACAAAATACACCAGCGACGAAACGTCCTCAGAATGGGAAAAAGCGTTCGACATGCCTAGAGCCTTCAACGACGACGTCGAGTACATGTTGCAATTGAAATTAGACAGGGAAGAAGAGATGCTTCTGGCAACCAGTGCCAATGGTTTCATCGTATGGTTCTTAGAGAGCAAAAGTGATGCGTATGTTCTGATGTTGCCCAATGGTGTACGGAATATCAGCACGAAGATGATGTGCTCCAATTCGATCATGATCAGTGGCACGAAGAATTACGCTGTTGCTGGTGTAAGGTGTATATTCCGCTACAATAAAAGTTATAAAAAAAATTAATAAAAGAAAACAATAGAAAAAAAAAAAAAAAATAACAATTCTATCAGGAAAAATTTGTACGTTTGGAATCTCGAAACGAAGGAACTGGTGAAAATATTGGACGCTCATTTCGCGAGGATCATTCAACTGGAAGCGCTAACTATTGGAAACTGGAACAGCGTGGTAACGTCGAGTATCGATAGAAGTGTTAAAGTATGGAACATAAATAATATTTTCGAGCAGGTGCATGTGATAGACAGACACGAGTTGCAGATCGATATGATAAGGTAATTTCTTTTTCCTTCTTCTCTTCCAAGAATAATTTATCTTTACTGGTCAACTTTTGTTTAAAATATATTCCAAGTTTGGCAGAGGAATGTAATTTAGCAGCGATAGTGACCAGAGATTGCGTAGGAATTTGGGACCTGCAGACTGGAAGATTGATCTCGAAATTGGCGGACAGTCCTCTCGGTGCAATTGTCACTCACGCCTGTATTACTCACGATGGAAAGTTAGTAATTTGATTAACGATCTTATACGTGTTTCCAACTGTTCCTTCCCTTTCGTTTCAGGTACATCGTCTCGACGGAGTCGGGCAACGTTTTAATATGGAACAGAATTACGGAGCAGGTGTTGTTCAAGGAGGAGCAGCAACACGTGAGGCAATTGACGCTGGTCGAAAACTCGTCGAAATTTATGGCCGTTTCGAGGCCAAAGAATCCTGCCGGAGTGGAGAGCATGAAGACCATGGCTACTCTTTTCATGAGAAACATTCCTGGTAGAATAATTGAAGAAATCAATATTTTTTACAAAATGAAAAATGATTTGTAAATATTGTTCACAGATGGAAGGACGACGTTCTCCTTGGAATATTTAGTCAGGAGTCATACAGGCACTCCGTTTCGAAACGTGGTCATTACTTCTGACAATTCTTTCCTGATTGCACCTGCTGCTGATAAGGGCAACAGAGATTGTGTTAATATTTATAACGCAAAAACAGGTGCACTGTTGAGCAAAATTCCTGTCAAGCTGCCAGGATTTAAGGTATGAATATTATTTGAGATGTTTGTCATTTCTTTTCTTATTAAATAAACAATGTTTTCTTTTTTGTGTCTTGTGTATTTTGATAGGATATCCTGTGTGTTACTCCTATGCCGAATAAAGCACACTGGGTAGGAGTGATTGGATCTGATAAGGGTGCTATTTTGGATATAAATAAAAAGAAGATTATCCGTATAATTCCCAAATGGAGTGGAAATATCAGCAAAGATGGGAAATACACTTTATATGCACCCAGCAGGTAGTTTCTGTTTAGAGTAATTTTTTGCTTTTTCCTAATTTATACTTGATAATCTTTTTGTTATAGAGGGGGTCTAGAACTTTTGGAGTTAAAGAAAGGTACCACAGTGAAGACTTATATTCCAAAGGTAGCAGAGGGTGTATTTACTGTAATATCGATGTTCAACCGTACAGATGAGTATGTTCTTTATTATCACAGTGGAAGGAAGACTATACGTGTGTTTAGGTAAGTGTGTGAAAGTTGAAACATTTTTTTTTTTTTTTTTTTCAAAGTCTACAAATATTTGTTGTACAATTTCATTTGTAGATCTTCAGACTGTCAGATGATAGCAAATTACAGGGTTCAAGCAGAATTGAGTGCCATCGATAGCACCTATGATGGTAAGAATATTGTGCTGGGAACAGTTGACGGTTGTGTATCTGTTTTAGTCATAGCTGATCCTAAAAAGGAAGAAATGAAAGAGTATGTTGGAAACTTACCATCTCGCGATGAAGATGTAAGTAAACGACTGCTAACATTATCACACTGGTAAACAAGCAGAACATGCTTTCAGAGATTGTGGAAACTGCACATGGTAGAGAAAGTATTCTGTCCTTCATTAATTCGTATCCTATATTATTTTATTGTTGATTTTTTTTTTTACTCTACGGTCCAAACGTTTCGACATCGATATCGTCAAATTCTATTGAATTCCGTCATTGATTTGTCAACTATAGAAATAGGTTAGGGTAAACACTTGCCGCATCGGTCACTGAGAATCCTTAAGAATAATTAAAGAGTTTTACGACACGATCGCATCGAACGAACAATTTTCGACCAACTTGGAACACTTTGCAACACTTTTTTCTAATGGTTTTTGTCACAATTTCGCTAGTTACAATGTCCCGCTCAAAAATGAAATTAAACGTAATTTCTGTGTATAGGCCTATATATTGTTCCGTGATACAAAAAATTCGCGTGATTTTCGACAAAATTAACGGGTATTGCCTTGTTTCATTTGATTACGAAAAATAGAAAACTACACATAGAACACGAGTACGCAGCAACAAACTCAAAACGTTCACTCAAAACACTCAACCACGATATTCTTTCTCCCCTGTTCTGTCTCTCTTTCTCTCTCGTTTGCTGCGAGAGAGAGCATCAAATCTAGTTCATTTGCAAATGCCAACTGCGTTTAAAAAAATACCGTCGAGAATTTTTTATTTCACTAGAGAACGGAAGGATTTAATTGGACGATCGCGCAAACGTTACAGTCGTGGCTTTGTATTTTCTTCTTTACACGTTTCACTTAACTAAATAACATTTCGAGCTATTAGTTTAATTATTTGGAATTGTATTTATTTTTTAACGTATTGAATTAATTTTGAAATTAAACGGATATATTACGTGAAAATCAAACCGAGTTTCTGGGAAATTGGCGCAACAGTTGGTACTACAACTAACTAGCATACAAATCGTTAAAGTACTTATTGCAGTTTCTACATTCTCCTTTAATTAATCTAGAATTTTATTATCTGATTTTTACTTGGAAACATTAGGAAAGGTATTTTCTACTTTTCTAACAAGAGTATTACCTATGATTTAATAACTTTTCAGTGGAAAAAGAAAACTGAACGGCAACGAGCGGCAATCAAGTTCAAAGCCGTAGCTCGTATCGCTCGTGTAACGCACGATTTGAGTGCAATTATACGAAATGGGAACGTTGTGGAAACAATCGAGGAATTAGACGAAAATGTGGAATAAAGATTACATTCTTTGTTTTATAGGAAATCTTTTTATTGCAGGAAGCTTAGCATAATGTAGGGTGATAGTGTAATGTTTTCCAATAGAGTTATTGACCAAAGGAGTAATAAAATGTAAAACGTTGATAATAGAATTTATATTACATTTATTTGTGTCTTTTCATGTAATTAATTTTTATAATCTTTCTTTCCTTTTCTTTCTGTCGTACATTTTCTCCGCGTTCAAAAAAGTAAAGGGCACGAGACGAATTCCGTGTTCTAATCATTGCAAATGAAATTACCCCCCTAATTTTATATTAGAAGGTGGTTTATTGCCCTTGCACAAATCAAGTTGTTGTTTCCCGTTTTTAAATAACAATTTTATAGCTCGCTCTATGCAAGGGAATGTCCATTTTCATTTCGCAATGTCCAATCGTGACTGAAGACGTCTCGTGCCGACGCAGGCGTGGTGAAGTGGTGTAACGTTTACGTTTTATCTTCCCCCCCCCCCCTTTGTTTACAAATTCCAAGAGATCGACAGTACTACGATGAGCGATTTAAAAAACAAATGGTATTACAATCAGCGAGTGAACGTAAAAGAGTTTCAGTCAGTATCGAAGTCGGATGATTCGTGCATGAAAATTTTCGTTGATCGTTTGTTGCTTTTTTTTCCACTCACGGTGGTAGTTAAAAATATATTGAACCGTTTCATACGGGCTTAAATAATACCACGATGACCGATTTTTACTTTTATATTTTTTTTTGAAGTTGATACTCGTATGGCAATCGAATCATTCTAGCATCGTGTATATCAATAATCTGTAAACACCTATTAAACGTATTTTGTAACAATGTTAAACTAAACTAAAACACACCTGCATCAGAGCACATGTATGAACAATAGTTCCGGCAGAACGTAAGGTGGTATGGCAGCTTGTTAGATAAAATAAACAGCATCCTTCATCAAAGAATATGCTCTTTGTTAAAAAATCGAGTACGGTGTGTCCCGTGGGTTACAAAATGCTGCTCATACACGATAGGATGAATGCGTTTGGTACTTTTAGAATTCTGATAATCGATTCGCACATTTTATCCCGTGAAGGCTCTTTTTTATTCAAATTAATTTGAATTTAAATCTATGATGCTGGTTTTTCTTGATAGGCTTATCTAGTAGTTTTGCAATGGTTTTTTTTTTTTTTGTTTCTTAATATCCGGTTATCGTCGTTTCCTATTTTTCCTCAGAGACTGGAACTTCTGTGAAAGCATGGTAGCTTTATTTGTGGTATAGTGCCTTTTTGAACTTTTATTGCATCGCACCTCCTTTTTGCTTCTGTTGTTGCTGCTGTTCCCGTTGTTGCTGTGCTTGTTGGGATGCTTCTGTATCTTTAATGTGTTTTTCAACCTACAGAATAAATAAAACATAATGAAAGATGTAATTTATAGGGCACTGTTAAGTTCTAGTTCTTCACAATACACACCACTTTCTTTACATGTTTGTATGCTCCAGATTCTGTGTTTCCATGAACATTATCAACTTTGTACGGCGGTCTAATTGTGACATTGTCAAATACAACAATATTTGCTCCATTCCACGTGATTTCTGGGATAGTCTTTGATATAGTACTGAAGAGTTTCTGTCCCTCTGGAGATACTCCGGCCTGCAGAGCCATTACCAGTTTCTTCTTCTCTTCAATTTGAGTACGTACTCTTCTGTTCAGCTTTTGCAGATTAAGGCTTTGTGGTGGTTCACTAGTTGTAGGACTAACTTCCTGCTTTACTTGGACCTCAGACACCAAGGATAAATTTACTATGTGTACATCGTTTAATGTTGGTGCTCCACTTGACGATGGACATTCTGATTGACATCAGTTAAGGAATTGTTGTTACCATAAAGTGAAAGTTAAATATAGTTTTATTCAGTGAATAGTCCTGTCACAGAGAATCTACCTTCAAAATAAAATCTCAGGTTATAAGCATGGGTATCTAACTTATTTTATCAGATTAAGAACATTTCAGTTGGTGATTTTTATAGGAAACGAAGGTGAAAGTGTTCTCGTGAAGCGTGCAAATACGTTCGAGAACGGACCAGTGAAGCAATAAGAGCAACGGAAAATCCAGCATGGTTGATTGAGTGACGAAACTAACCTGACTTCGTGTAGCTGGTTAGATGATCACCAAATAATTGACAAGCGATATTGTACGTCTTTCGTGTGAAATCGCGAACCGTAGCTTATTGGTCATTTACCAAAAATCACGAAACCTATCGTAGACAGCTATTAAGTTATTTAAACTGCGGCAATGTTAAACGAGCGACGGATGAGCGCTGCTTACATGTATTCGTCGGGAAGGGCGATACTTTGAAGGAATTTACGAGAAAAGGATACTTAGGATTAGCATTTTAGTTTGTGGATCGAATGCTAGCACCTCGCCTTCGATCTCCTCCTTGTAACAGGTTTTACAGGCCACCGTACTCCCAATGCTGAAACAATCGTTGGCGCCGGCCATTTTTCACTATGAACTCAGAACCGCGGACACCCTATCGCCATCTGTTCTGATTTCAAATGTCCCACGAAATTCGTATAATTTGCGCCATTTCTCGTGTGCTTCGCAACGCGTGTGGTTCCAAAGAAAAGTTTAACAATATTTTGCGACAAAACAGACGGACTGTTTGATTAATACCAGATTAAAGTTCGTCATAGCTGGTAGAAATGAGGTAAGAAGCTTTGAAACAGTAATCCGTTTTTTTAAGCGCGTGTGGTTAAAATTAGAAATGCGTCATTGCATTACAAAGTTAATTACTGTTGAATGTTCTTTGAAAAAACCTCCTTTTGAGTTTAATTTCTAAATTCGTATCGATAAAGACTAGGAAATGAGGATTAGTAGTGTCGAAGTACTTCTATTGTGAAGTAATTTTAATTTTATTAATAGTCTGATAATATGTCGATATTGTATCAGTATCTTAAGCTTGATAAAGCTGTATATGGCACGAATAAAACATGGATGCCATTTTCTGGAGGGAGAAAGGTCTATATTATAAAGTTTTAAACATTTTTTTATTCATAATGTCTTGTACTGTATATAATGTATAACATATATGTGAAAGAAGATTTAAGACGCAATTTACGTCATTATTATAACATATAGGGTTAAAATTATTGTTCTGTCGATGATTAAAAAGCCATCTGAAAGGAGGTTCGTTAATTTCAAATAATAACCTTCATTATTTTTTCATTTTTAATTTCAGATCGTATAAGACATCGTTCGAGCGCTACGGAAAGCTTCGGCTGCCTTCGTTCGATGTTCGTGAGCTTTCGCTCACGTTCGGGGTGAGTCGGGGGCAGTCGGCTTGGCGGGTAGTTTCATGGTCGCGTGGCGTCGTCCGGCTTCCAGTTTATAGACACCTCTCTGTGAAGAAGCATCGTATCGTGTTTGACATACAACTTCTAAACTGTTTTTGTGTTTTTTGAATAATGTGTGACACAGTTAGTGAGTGATTCTGCATTGTGACAGCTACTGGACTACGACGTACACTATGGTTATGCGTGGTTCTACTAACCTCTTCGTGACTTTGTTAAGGTTCACCCTAAGGTACGCGAAGTACGCTTTTAATTGCATTTATTCTTAACATATTAGCTACCAACGTGTTATTAGTAACTTGTAACCTACATAGTAACACATCTTCTAGAGAAAAGACAGAAGTTTCTAATTTATCAAATTTACGTAATGCGCATTAGGGTGTATTTCGTAATTACCGATCTGCGTATTATCGATACTTGGGTAACCAGTATCGACTGCTTAGACAGTTAAGACTGATGTAATCTCCCTCTATCTTACGTTTGGGGATATTTCATCGTTTCTGAGCTTTATTCGGGGTTCAATTAACGCTTACCCCATAAAGGGGATCAAGATATCATAGGTTCACAGAAGCATGATTGTCTTTTATTGAAGATAGGGTGACCTTTCGCAAAGCTTAGTTTGATATATAATGGAATATCAGCTTGTTGACGTTTATCGGCGAAAAGCGTTCCGGCAAATCCAATGTCAGGATGTCGCATGTAGGATAATGGACACAGGGTATGTTAATACTCGTGGAATTCGATATACGATATTAGTCTGAGATTTCTAGGAACTCTTTCTTATTCGGTTTCTGTGTAGCAATTTCTTATTTTAATTAATTACCGACTCGAATAGCTGTTCCAAAAATATCTACCTTAAGCTTTCTCCTTCGTTAGTGTATTACTAAAGGTTCGGAATCTTAATTATAGGTTAAAGCATTCAGGCTGATACGTGTATAACTATGTATCCTTTTGAGAATTTCGTTCTGTGATAAAAACTTCGCGAAGCAGCGTTGGCCATCTGGCGTTCCTAAACATTCAGCTCGTGAAAAGATTTTTTTTTGCGAAGGTGTAACGATGCTCGAGGCACGAAGCGTGAATAGCAGTTTCATAAAAACAGGGCAGGCCCTTGCCTGTATTTCGCGTTGAACTTGGGCGTAGGGCGATAGACGTAAACAGAATAGCGTGCTGTCGCGGATTCCTGGAATTTTATTGTCGACAGTGTGCTGTCGCGGATTCTTGGAATTGTATTGTTGACAGCGTGATATTCGTGCGCCATTGAAATGAGAAATATCGCTTTGAAATTTATAACAATTTCGTATTTATCTCGTGGTAGCTACATATATTTCGTCGCCGCGTCTGTGGTTCAGATGAAGTATATGTAAATCATAGTTCCACAGGAGTTCACAATATGTGGTAAATAATTCATCAGAAGTTGAAGCATGCCATTTGTATTCCGATTGCATTTACAGATTGTTGTTCCTACCGAAAACTGAGGCAGGATTGTTATTCGCTTTACGAAGTTGAACAGGCTTGATTGAAATTGTTTGGAAGCTCTGCTTTACGCGAGAACTTTGTGGCTTTATTGTCTCGTAGAATATCGTAACTGCGATGAAAAATCACCGGATCAGACGGTACTGCTCGATGAAATTTAATTGAACTCTGTTTCGTAGCGTTTACTAAGGAAATCGTTTAGTTTCCGATCGGGTTTTGCGGGAATTGAACAATGATTTTCAAATATTAACTCTTGGATTTTATTGCAGTTCAGGAGTTTAGAAATGTAGAATAGGAAGTTTAAGCATTTAAATATTGGAAGGTTCGAAAGTTTCAAAAATTTGAATATTCGAAAGTTTGAATATTTGACAATTTAAATATTCGGAAGTTTGAGTATTCGGAAGTTTGAATATTCGAAATATTGAATATTCGGAAGTTTGAATATTCGCAAGTTTGAATATTCGCAAGTTTGAATATTCGGAAGTTTGAATATTCGGAAGTTTGAATATTCGAAAGATTGAACATTCGGAAGTTTGAATATTCGAAAGATTGAATATTCGGAAGTTTGAATATTCGGAAGTTTGAA